TTCTCATCCAACTAGGTGCGAAAGAGGCGGCAGGTGGAAGCCACGTTGGAAGCCGATAAAAGCCCAAAGTTTCAGCTGGGTTTAGTTGGTAAACTAACAGTTTGCTATTGAAAATGGCCATTTATAGTGAGTTTTCCCATTAAAAATGGTTATGTCTTCAAATCATCCAAAAAAAACCACACATTGTTTTGAATCGCTTAAAATGTTGTCAATTGTGGACCATCATTCCACATTGGGATTGGGAATCAGAACATATTCAAAATACGATGAAGGCACCAGCCAGGTACCCTTCTGTTATATAAATCATGACAATTAGAAGATCCACGTTTGCCTTCATTAAGTCATATTAAGTCCATGTCTGCCCATTCCATCATGATTGCATCCCCATTATTGATTCTAGTTACTGTAAATCGCCATCATTGTCATCACTAATCATTATCATCAGCAATCGTTGTCATTGTGATTGTCATGACTCCCAACATGACCATTCGCATTTGACCCCCCTATTGGTACGTGAAACCCTACCGTAGATTTGTTGTTTCACAATGAAGAAACATGCCTCATTGGGCATCATTATCGCAAGTATCTCAAGTCTGTTTTTCTCAACCATCAAACCATGTTTGTTGATTCTATACCCCTCCATTTTATCATATGTCTATCTATATTTGCTGGTTGTATCACCATTGAATAAGTCCAGTGCCTTCCCCAGCCCCCAGTGCCCACCTTGGGCTCGTCGGTGCGCGCGCGTCCTTCCGCTTCGGCTTCCCAGGTAAGGCGCTTTACGGTGTGCTCCTCCAGGTCCTGATCGGCGCCCAATGGACCAATTTTATGGGTTTTTGAATGGGTTGTTGATGATTTTCATGGGATGTTTATTGGATTTGTATGGGTGTGGTTTAATCGGATTTTATCGGATTTTGTAGGTTTGTTGTTGGTTTTTTTCATTGGATTTTATGGGATTGTATAGGTTTTTAATGGAATTCAGCATTATTTTCATCAGGTCATTTTATTCAGAGTTCTATGGGTTTCCTGGATGATTGGAACCAATGGATTCAAGCCTCATCCCATGAAAAATTGCCCCTTGAGGGGTCCCATTTTCAGACAAAGCCCACTGAATGAAAAGCAGGTCAGTACTGTAGTGTCATGAATCGTGTTTTTTGTGCGTTCTCTCTTTGTGTGTGTGTCTCACTTACTCTCTCTCTCTCTCTAACAAAGTTACAAAGTTCTTAACCTTGAATCCCAATTGAAGGCATTATTTTGTTGCACAATGCTCCCCCAATCGAGACCTTTAAAAAAACAAAATCTCAACATTGAATTCTCTTTATGTTAACAAATTATGCATACAAAATGGAAGCCTTTTCAAGACTTTTTGTTTAAAAAATCGTACCCCGCAGAAATCTTGTGCAAAGAAGAAGTGGGAGAGAGATAATGTTATCATTACGTGCGTTAAGAATAGGAAAATGGATCAAAACGATTAGAAGCTTCGAGCCCAGTTCTGTTCAGGCACAAACTCCAAAAAACCGCCAGAAACTTTAGGTTCTGGAGGCATGTTATCATGCATGCACAAACCCAATAAATTGATAGAAAGTGAACTTATTTTTAAATTCCAATGAAAAATTAGCTGCGCTATAGTTGTCCGGAAAAATGTTTGAATTTAATTTGGGGGCTTCAATTTTAGACTCAAAGTTACAAGTTTCTGAAATCTCATAATGTTGGATATGTTGAATATAGAATATGCTAAAAAAATCTAAATGTGGTGGCTTTAATCTTACATTCAACATTAGCTTCAATTCCATAATGGTACAGTAAAATATATATTAATAGATATGTTATGTTGTAAAATCAATTACCTCCAGATTTCCGAAATTCTGTATTTTGGCTACTTTGAGGTTTTGGGCAGGTTTGGTACTAATTAAGTTTAGAATTAAAGCCTCATTTTTGTTTAAAGTTTCTTTCGTGTTTCAAGTGTTTGAAATTACTGCGGTTCCACGCGCTTCCATTGTTTGGTGTGATTCATTTTGAAGTAAATTTATTGTTTTGAAAAAAAAATGCTCGTGTCCTATAATTTTAAATGCTCACAAAAATGTATTCGTGTTTAATTGAGTTTGTCTCAAATCTGGCCGAGGCCGAAATCTGAAACTAGCCAAATTCCAAGAATCTGAGAGCAATTAAACTTAACATGTTTATAAAAGGAATGTTACCCAGAGAATTTCGAAATACTCGAAATATCCTTGGCCACCACACCTTGGTCGCCGCCTCCGCCTTTTGCGCCAAGGGTTTGATCAGCTCAACCTGAGTGGAAAAGCTAAGAAGATGCGTTTTGAAATCCTGAAGCAACCACTAACCCCAGACATTATTTCGGTCATATGGATTTAGTGTTATTCTTTTAGGTGTCATCATCCCCAAATATCCCCAATTTGGTGATGTGAATCACATGAATCATCGGTAGATCGGTGCCCGGACCAAGGCAGTCAGCAGTTCCACCTGCTTGGCCTCGGAGTGGTGTTTACCAACTTCTAGCTCTAGAGGTTTCTATTAGATATGTGTGTATGTATATATATATATATATATCCACTTGTAGCGCCATAGCATGTGTATAAAACGGTATATGTAATGTAATTCTAATATCTACATATCTCTATATATATATATATATACATACAGGATATACGTATACAATGGCTGTGGGTCAAACAAATATCACCGGAAACGGCCTGGATCACCATCCCCAAAAGAGCCAGAAATGGGTTTGATATACCATCCCAAAATGCTAGGTTGATTATTGGGTTTACCCAACCTGGTTATGACATTCACAGTTCGCCATGGTATAGATGACCCATAGAAATAGATGGTTTGCCTATTAAAAGTGGTGATTTTCCATGGCTATGTTAGTCATAACCAGATATCTCTTAGTGGGGATTTCGCATCGCCATTGGACGCATCGCCTGTACCAAGAGTCGCATTTTGGTTTTAAGGATGATTTCTGTTGGCCAGGTCTGGAAAGATGCTGCTTGTTGCAGTAATATATGGTTAATATATGGTTAATATATGGTTAATAATCTGGTTGGTGGTCAAACAACCCCTCTGAAAAATGATGGAGTTAAAGTCAGTTGGGATGATGACATTCCCAATATATGGAAAAATAAAAAATGTTCCAAACCACCAAGCAGTTATTGCATATTCTTGCTATTGTTGTTAGTACGCGAACTTTATATCATCTATCTGATGTTCATTACAATTGGGGAAGGGATTCCAATATTCCAATGTGGTAGACCCAAGAATGTCGGTTTACCCCAGGCTGCACAAGTTCATAAACCACAGTTTACTCCCCATGACCCACTCGCAACAACCTGCACGTCGACGTTTGTGAACTTTGTCACCTCCGGGGCTCCCTCTTCGACCTGCCATGGAATTGTGGATCCACAAAGGGAAGTGGAAACACTGTGATAAAACAGAGGACAAATCAACAAAAAAATGTGGATTCATCATGTTAGAATCAACCAATCGGATATTGAGATATTGAATGATGAAAATGGTTGTAACTGGTGAAAAAAAAACATGGTCAGCAAGTCCGGTGACTATAGTTGTTGGCTATTTACTACGTGCAGTGACCCTCCAAGCATTTTCGGATATCCAGTTTCGACCACGCCCCTCTGCGCATACGCAGGTACGTCCAGTATGTCCGCAATATCTGTAATTAATCCATGACGTGATAGTGATTCAAGGCCAGTTTTATTGCTGCCAATATCAACCATCATTTCTAAAGCTTGCGCAAGCTTGAGGTCGCTATCAATCATCCAATAAAACTCCATTTGTAGATGATGGTCTGATGGAAAAAAAAACACGAAATCACCAAAGATTCGGTGGAATTAGTATCTGAAAATCAGGTATACCCAAAAAAAGACGCACTTTCAACAGATGACGATGAATCAGTGCAATGATCTAGGGTTTTTTGTTGCTTCTCTTCGGACCCTTGGCCATAATGACACCTGAAATCTAACATGACCTCGAAAATTTTGGGATCCTGGATGATCCTGAGAGCTTCCTGGCTGAAACTGGTGGTTCACCCTGGCCGTTTCACCCTGTTGATCAACCCATCAACCCAGCACAGGTGGCCTTCTGAGAGAATTCCAGCCCATCTAAGAAACCACACTTGGCATCCTGGCTCCAGTTTTTAAACGGTCAGGTCATGAGGAAAACATCACGGAAAAAAAATCTGGGGCCCGAGTCAATCCAAAAACAATGGGGATCAAATCATCAATAAGAATTCTGATGTTATATACATATTATATTATATATATACCCTCTGGTTATTTAACATAGCCATGGAAAATGGCCCATAGAAATAGATGGTTTACCTATTAAAAATGGTGATTTTCCATGGCTATGTTAAATAACCAGAGGGTATATGTCGTTGTATGCCGCAAAATGGAATGGTTCTCTGCTAGTCATGACCAGTTGATTGATGATTCTGAATGCGTAGGTTCATAGTGGTCAGGAGATTGGGTATATCCCAACTGACAGTACAAAAACTCACAACTTTTCCAACGGGAAAGGGAGCATCTCCCACTTGCAACAAGATAGTTTTCATTTGGGAGGGGAATCTCTCTCATTTCCAAGGGGATGTTTTTCCACTTACCAATCATGTATCTTAGCTTTGTAAGGCTTACATCCCAACTTGATCCGGATATATGATCTCTTCCCCAGCATTTTTCCACTCCCAGGGGCCCAGGGGCCCTGGAACTCCCCTCCCAAAAAACCTCGGCGCCGAAGTGTTGCGGTAGGCCATGCAGGAACTTCAAGGTCTCCAGTAGGCCGGACCTCAGTTAGTTGTTAACGCGTTGATATCTCCGAATAATCCATGGGAAGAACAGGCAGATTGAAATCAAGACAGATATCAAGATACATTTTGGGTGGAATCCTCAAATTTTCTGGGTAAATCTCTTCATTTCGGTGCTTTAATACATGTTAATACCAAGTAAGTTCAGCCAGCATCGAAGCACTTTTTTCATCCATCGCCGGACGCCACCTGCCAGGAACTTGTGTCCGCAGCGTGGCGTTCAATCCACTTCCTGGGAAGGAATGTTGTTGAGTGTCCGAACCAAGTAGGGGTCAAGGTTGGGTATGTGCACATATTATATTATATGATATTATATGATATTACATTGTATCAAAATTAGATTACATTGTATTACATTATAAGTATATTACATGATATCATATTATATTGTATCGTATTATATTGTATGACATAATATTACATTGCATTATATTGCATTGTATTATATATTGCTTTATATTATATATTACATTATATTACATTATATTACATTATATTACATTATATTACATTGTATTACATTATATTACATGATATTACATGATATTACGTTATATTATATATTATAATATATATTACCTTATGTTACATTATATTACATTATATTATATATTGTAATGGATATTACCTTATCTTACATTATATTACATTATATTATTATATATTATAATATATATTACCTTATATTACATTATATAATATTATGTTATATTCTGGTATATTCTATATTATATTATATGATATATAATATGATATATTACATTTTATATTATATTACATTACATTATCTTATTTTATATTATGTTATATTACATATTAATACATATTATATTATATCATATGCTATATTATATTATATTGTATTTTGGTGTATTACATTATAATGTTTATATTATATTATATTCTGTTAAATTATATGATATTATGTTCAAATATATGGTATTATTTGAAATTATACTATATTATGTTAAATTGTATTATACAAAATGATATTATTAATTATATGTATGTATACAGCATACATAGATTTTTATACTACATGCACATACATGTGTATATGCGGGGGATGGATAAATCTAAATATTAATACCAAAGTTGGGGACCCAAAACTAAATGGATGGTCCGTGTCGGTTGCGATTGGGGCAGGGGTAATTGCGTTTTTCCCCGAACCCGCGTTTTGTTTGACTGAAACACATATGTCAAGTGGCAGGACAGTGGTGCAAATAGGTTTGGGTCAAATTTAAGAACCTGGGACCCGCAAATCTGGGTCATTTTATTTTCGGTTTGAAATCATCTCATGTTTTAAGTATCTCTTCATTTTTGGTACATATGGTTCCTTTTTCTACGTGTCGTGATTGTAGTATGTAAAGCATGTTTTTTGACAAAATCCAAAGTGGGGTCACAGATTCCCCAAAACGATGAAACCCACCTGCCAAGGCACAAGGCCCTTTAAAACGGACCATGTTGGGTTCCCGAAATGCCCCAAAAAACTCGGGGCTCGGTGGGTTCTTCTTGCTGGATTAAGTACAAATGGACTAAGGGGTTTTTGGGTAGGGATGAGGATGCTCGGTTGCCTTTAAAAGGAGCCTTCATAAGCAGGTTTGTTTTTTTTATCTGCGACATGGTCCTGATTTGCACCTCCCGTTTTCAGCATGGTCCTGAACATGGCATTCCTATGGTTGCATCGGGGATCATTGGGTGCATGGGCCCATCCACAACCATCACTTCAGAATTCACAAAATAGAATAAAAGAAGTACTGCTAGTCTAGTCTACTGAGTATATGCCAGCTTGATAAGTCTAAATTTGCAAGCAACCCAAATCAAATGCTTATTTATATATGTGTATATACAGTATGTATATATATATATGGAAGATTTGCCAACAAGTGTAAGAAACCAGTAAACATATACCGTTAGACAAAAACCAAGGGACTGATGGTCTCCACGCAAGATCAGCCGCAGCTCCTTTGGGGATGACCATCAGATACTGAGACTGCTGGTTGACCAAGCTACCATTGGTTGGTAATATATTATTAATATATGGTTAATATATGGTTAATATATGGTTAATATATGGTTAATGATGGTTAATAATCTGGTTGGTGGCGTACCTACCCCTCTGAAAAATGATGGAGAACTTGTCAGTTGGGATCATGACATTCCCAACTGAATGGAAAAATAGAGTAAAAATGTTCCAAAGCACCAATCAGTATTTATGTCTATTTATTTATTTAGATCTGGGCAAAGTACACTATGTCACTGACCCGAAATAAGGTCGAAATAAGGTCACGCACTGGTATCTAGCCTTGGGATAAAATGGTTATAGTCTCGTTATTCCAAGGGTTTCACAAACAGGTCACACGAAAAGCTGCGCCTACGCCTCATTCTTTGTCATCCATCACACATGGTTCATCTACATGACATACTGGCATACCAATATGCATGGTGAAAGAACAATGTGGATAAAAACTTCTTCCCGCTTTTGGCCATGGATTTGAAACATGAAGGATGAGAAAGAATGAACAAAAAACGAAGTTTTACATGTGAGAGGGCGCTTAATCAGGCTTAATCCCCTGCAAATACCATGAAAAGTGTGTTTTGGACGCCGTCCTCATGGCATTTCGTGGCAATTTTGCAACTTACAAAGTGACAGCAGCTGCAAATGTTCATTTCGGGGCCTCGAGCACCCGTGTTACCAGCCGTTTATGGCTTATGGTGTTTGACATTCCCATCAATTATCCTTACAAGCCTTGGTTGAATCCATATCGTCCCATGATGAACCATCCCATGAGCATCATCCCATTTGGGCGTTTTACATCGTCCCATTTACCTCGCTATCCACCATTTAACAGATGATTTTCCCACTAAAACCATTTAAAGCCTCCATTGATTCTTGGGCTTACCATGAGTTTTCCCACATCTTTTCTTGGCTTTCCACAATGAACTTCCTGTTTCGATCAGCACCCTTGAAGGTCCTGCAGAAGGCCTGGTATGCCTTCGCCGAAGCGAGCCGACACGGCGCGAACAAAGAGAGGCGCACTGGAACCTTGGCCGGCAGATGGGCAGATGTTTCCGAAATTGATGGAGGTATACCCTCCGGTAAACCTACAAAAAAACTATGGAAAATCACGATTGAAACAATGGGTAAATCAACTAGTTCTATGGCCATGTTTAATAGCGATATGTTAAATTGCCAGAGGGTATGAGTAGCATATAATGATTCTGATTGCTATGATTATTGAGTGTTATATGATTCTGATTACTATGATTGTTGATGTTGACTATGATGATTATGATGATGATGATGATGATGATGATGGCGTTTTTACCCGGCCAAAGTTGACTTCTGTGAGTTAGTTGTCTTTATTGGGCCCATATCAAGAATGTCTTGAAGGGAATCTATCTCGTCATATCTCGTCCATTTCCTGAAACCAGCTGCCATTGGTTGCGCAGAATCATACCCATACATATCCCATAATTCCTATATATCTTCTAACTATGAGGAAAATGACTATTATATATATATACATATGCATATGTGGTCCCCAATGGTATTGTAACGACTAACCACTCTATGGTCACAAGGTGATAATGACTACAATCACATTATGACCATCACAAAAAGTTTGTCATTATGATCGCACTGCACCAGGTTATTGTGCAGCAATTATCACTCGCAACAGGTCATAAGGACTACCCTCCAGTGAACCAACATAGCCATGGAAGCCATGGACCATTTAGTTCGATGATTTACCATTGACTTCAGGTGATTTCCATAGCTTTTTGTATGTTTACCAGAGGCTAACTGCCAAAGTCACTACGATGACTTAACCTCCATGGTTCGCGGGAAACGAGGCATCCTTGTCTTACGGCAAGTCACCAAGACTTGGCTCGGCACTGCGCACAGAACGATACAGCTTGTCCTCGCTGCAAAGCGTGCGGGTGGAAAGCCCAAGGATTCCCAACCAGGAATAGCAATCAATGATAGCACATAACAACAGTGGTCAACCACCTGGGTTGGATCTGTAAACAGGCCCGTGGATTCTCAGATCAACCCCAAACCTTGGGATGCACCGCGCAAGCGGTGCGTTGGCACCTGCAAACCATCAATTCCAAATAGATCGAATGCCAAAAGCTGAAAATCTGTACTTTCGAACATTCCTTCAGAACAAAAAGGGTCATCTTGAGGTAGGTAGGCAAAATCTAAGTTACATATATTCCTTATATCCCCATCGGATATTCATTTTCATATATTTTCATGATGTCAGGTGTGGCTCCCCATTTTCTCAGTGATTGGGTATGTGTAGTAAAGGTGCACAAAACAAGTAGGATGGTAAGTACGACTATGACCAAATGTTGTGGTCCCTTTTTGCAGGTCTCGAATTTTGACCCAAATTTAGGGTTTGACCTTCGGCTCGGCGTCAAACAAACACAAAAACCAAAGAACTCATCATTTGGTTTTCTCTGAAAATGTGCAAGGTATTGCAAGGTACATCAAGGTACAGTCTGCGGTACAGTACAATCATCATTTTCCGCATGTCAAATTGCCAGCTTTTTGGACGTCTCGGGCACATCCCCCGACCCATTCAGTGAAGCATCCACTTTGGGCAAGGTTTCTTCTGGTTTCACATCACATTTCGTGGCCACCACAGCCGAAGGCTTCAGCGCCATCTCGAAGGAGAAGGTCTGGGGATGCAGGGGATAACGGGAAATCCTCCATTTCCGAATCGAAATTGTATACCCTCTGGTGAACTAACATAGCAATGGAAAATGGCCATAGAAATAGTGGATTTTCCCATTAAAAATGGTGATTTTCCATTGCGAACTGTTAGTTCACCAGAGGGTAACCAGAAAGATCCAACCAACAATGATAAGGAGATGGAAATGGATCATGATATGACCATAGTACTTCTAGCGTTTTTCGGATGTGCTGCTACTGTTACGATCCAGCTGAAGTTGACACATGGTGCAGGTAAAGAAAACCCTGATTTATCCGATTTCCAGCTATTCTAATTGTCACAAACCAACCCAATACTGATCAACAATTTTGAGATACGGATTGGTTCATGTGCCCAATGGATAGATGTATATACATATCTGTGTGTGTGTCTAATTGTGTTGCCCTTGGCTGCGAATGTTCATGCCCATCCATACCACTCTGAACACCAAAATGAAGAACTATTTCAAAGAAGTTTGCAAGAAGCTTTAGATTTGGGAAAATGAAGAAGAAAAACGTTTTATAGCATAGTATACCTTGCCCGTTGTTTTCATGTTTTTTCAATCTGTCCCTTCAATTTGGAGATGCCTCTACATCTACCTGCCCAAAAGCGCACCTGCACCTCTCGTTGCAAGCTGAGGAAATCCAAGAAGGGATCTGTGGAGCGAGCGCAATCCACCACATAGATCAACACCTTGCAGAAAATCATCCAGGGTTGGTTGAGGGTGCAATTAGTTGCATTGGTCTATACTCCGCTCAAGAAATTGTATACAACCTCGTATATCCATGTATCCATGTCTATGTGCATTTTGAACATGTGTTCCACTCATTCAGTCATTCGTTCATTCATTCATTCATTCGTTCGTTCATTCTTCATTTGTTTGTTCGTTCACTCATTCATGTATTTGTTTATATGCGGCATTTGATTCTAAAAAGATGATGTGTATCTCTGTTTATATATATATGATGTGTTTTTATAAATATATATATACATATATATATGTGTGTGTGTGGATTTTCTTTAACCTTCATCCAGATACTTCCAGTATAAACCTCCATATTTTAAGGTTCTAACGCCATCTAAAAATGCATGGATGTCAGACACTCCAATTTGAAACGTGAAACGGCATGTTCAGTTGTGTAGGATTCAGTCTTACTGTGAAAGTCAGAGAAGATTAGCACAGCCACCTGCACAGGATGACACGCCAAATCGAGACGGCATAGCCGCTTTGTGGTTCAAAACAAGTTGCCAGGGCTGACCTGCGTGCAGGTTATGAGCCCAACCTGTCGCTAGCCGCTGCTGAGGGGCCATGATGATGCGCAGAAGAACCAGTGGAAGTCCTGAAGCTGACCGATCAGGCGAAGAAAGGCCAGAGGAGGAGATGCTTGGGCCAACTGGGAGACCTGTGAGTTATGGACCTCAAAACCCTCAAATGTTGGAACTTGAAGATGAAAAGAAAGATGTAGAGAATGAAGAACCCAAAAAAGAGCTAGAGCCGCTGTTCACCGAAGAACAAGTGAGGCAGTTTGAAGAACTGCACAACAGAGCACCTCTGTTGTATGGAACTCCACAGAGGACGCAGCTAGGAATAGAGGATGAAGCCAGGTCTTCAGGTCTAGCTTTGGAAGATGTGCAGTTGGAAAGACCGAAGTTTCTACCTGCAGAAAGACCTGCAGCGATGCCTGCTGGTACGCCCTCAGTGATTTATCAGCAGCAGATGATGCAGTACTTCTTCATGTTGCAGCAAGAGAACATGCAGCTGAAGATGGAACAGGAGTTGCTGAAAGAGAAGCTGAGGGAGAAGGAAGAAAGAAAGACGTCTGAAGTAGAGATGCCAAATGGCGAAGGAGGAAGAAAAGCTAAGCCTGAAGTGGAAGGGTTTCAGACTCCTGAAAGCCAACAGCAAGGAAGTCGTGCAGCCGAAGACCGGGTTGTGAAGACAGAGAATGACCTGGAATCTGAAAGAAGAAGGCTGTACGAGTTGACACCGATGGAGCAATATGACGAATTGCAAAAGGTGATGGATGCTGCAGTGGGTTCAGTGAAGAAGCCACCTCCTGGACGAGACCTTCGAGGACCTTGGGAATCTCATCAACCTTCAGAAGGAGCACGACAGAAAGAAAGAGAAGTTCCGAAGAAGGGAGCAGGTGAGAAGGGGACCGGAGGAGATGCCAGGAAGAACCAAGGGAATACTTTGGAGCCAGCTGATGATGGAAGAATGCAAAGGCAGGTTGACGTCCTGTCTAAGATGATGTTGCACCTTCTGGAAAGTCAGCAAGGTAAAGATGATGGAGAAAAGATGGAAGCGGTCAAACCTGGAGTGAACAAGTTGCAGACTCTTCAGGAGCCGACCGAAACGGCCCCCATTGACTATGCTGACTGGTTGACCATGATAGAGCCGGTGATGACGGATCTGTCTGACAGTTCGCATGTTTGGTGGCGACTGGTGCTGGATGAATGCAGCGCATGGTACTCTGAGTATGTGAAGCTCCGACCACTTCAAAGAACAAGCTTTGAGATCGAGGCCTCTGAAGAACTGAAGAAGACGAAGTGGGTTCGAGTGGAACGCCGAGCTGTTTCCATGCTCATGGATGCCATACCCACTGGAGTGAGAGAAGAGCTTGTTGCTACCAAGTCACTTTCTCCAGTGAAGGTGATTGCCAAGTTGATGACCATCTACCAGCCTGGTGGACTACATGAACGAACTGTGATTCTGCGTCAGTTGGAGGATCCTGGCGAAGCAGGAAACGCAGTGACTAGAGTCCAAAGTCTTCGGAAGTGGTTGCGATGGTTGAGAAGAGCTCAGGATGTCGGGTTATGCTTACCTGATTCCACTATACTTTTGCGTGGTCTGACAAAGTTGATGAAGAAGCTGCTGAACAACAACCCAGAACTAGCTTTTAGAACCTCACTTGTCAGAAACACACTCCAATTGGATACAATTCCAAACCATCAAACTGTGAGGACGTACTCTGAACACCTACTGTCGGAACTGGAGCAACTGGTCCACTTGGAGAAAAGGTCAAAGGTGGCTAATGCAGAAAGAGCGACAGCCACAACCAGCCAGGTGAAGCAGTTGAATGCCGCAAGCAGTGGGAGCACAGAGGACAAGAATGTGAAAAAGAATGTGAAGGAATGCAAGTTCTTTCATCAGGAGGATGGTTGCAGACGTGGTGCAGCTTGCACTTGGGGACACAATGTAGAGCCAGGGGAGAAAAGGTGCTATGTGTGCGGATCCACCAAGCATTTTGCGAGGGAGTGTCCACGCAAGGACATTCAAAAAGACCCAAAGGTGCAGAAAGTGGAAAAGGAGGCTGAGACCCCCAACAAAACCGCCAATAAGAGCCCTGCCCCTGCTGAGGCCCCAGCAGTGGCAACAAAGGAGGCTGAGACCACCAAAGAAGAAGTTGCTAGTGTTGGAGGAGACTCTCTGCAAAGCGTCATGGAAGAAGCTTCGAAGATGCTGAAGAGCATGGGAGTTGAAGAAAAGCCTACAAAGACCAGGGAAGAAATGACCAAAGGACGGATGCTGGAGCTACAGAAGGAGTTGCAACAGATTCAGGACGGATCGTGGAAGCCTAGAATCAATATGATGAAGACTGCCATGGTTGCCCGAGTCAAGTTCGGCAAGAAAGCGTTGCTGGATACTGGAGCCACTCACGCTCTGAGGTCCAAGAGGAGTGATGAGAACCTGGTTGAGGGCAAAGAGTACAAGAAAGTGAGAGTGAACCTTGCAGCTGGAGGTTCAAAGACAATGTGGATGACGGATGGAGGAACCCTGGTACATGAAGAACCAGGGATGGAACCGATACTACCAGTTGGTCGTCTAGTACGAGAACTGGGATGCAGCTTTGAGTGGAAAGATGATGAATGCTTTCTTTTCCACCCCATCAGGGGACAGATAGCAGTGGAGGTCGAAGAAGGATGTCCACAGATCACCCAGGCAGAAGCGGAAAAGATGGTGGATGAACTTGAAGGAATGATGTCGCTTCGAAGCATGAAAAAAGTGGCATATGATGATGCATGTTGGGGCGCAGAATGGATGGCTGAGTTGGTAGAGAAACATCCAGTACTGGCCTCAATACCCTCACTTGTCAAGGACAACCTAGTGGAAGTGCCGGCCGAAGACCTTTCGCTTTTGAAGGCCAACAGAAGAACCAGGAGACGATGGATTGAACAAGGGGTCACTGTACATTTGTACGCCGGGCCAAAAGAAGGCCTGACTCTGAAGAGAGCCTACTTGGAGAAGGGAGGTGATGGCACGAGGTTGATCGAAATAGACGTGAAGAGAGGAGCACATCATGACATGTTGAGAATTGGAGGGATGTACAGCACCCTCCTCAAGCTGGCGATGCTAGGAGCCATTGATGCAGTGGTTGGTGGCCCAAATTGCCGTACACGTTCAGTGCTGCGACACACTCCAAGAGAAGGCTTCCCAGGACCATCGAGGACGGCGGGATACCCTTGGGGACTTCCTGATGCTCCCCCTGATGAACAAGGAAAGTTGTTGCAGGACGATGCATTGATGCTGAGGATGCTGACCCTGTACATGGTTGCACAGATAGCGAGAGATGCAATGGTGAAAGAAAGAAGCAAGAGGTGTTTGAAGGCCAAGGTTGGATTTCTGTTGGAGCAACCAGCAGCACCAGAGTGGTGTCCAGAATGTGCTTCGTGGTGGAGAAATCGAACATGGTTGCTGTTCAAGCACTACTACCAGATGGAAGAAGTGACGTTTTACCAAGGAGATTTTGGAGGTGAAGCGAGAAAGACAACAACATGCGGAACAAACCTGGGGTTTCAACCACCAGACCCACTAGTACATGGTGGGAGGAGCAGAGAACAAGGTCCAGAACTGGATTCCAGTAAGCTCTCGAGGTGGGCTCCTGGGATGATGCATGAAGTTGCAAGGCTTTTGATGGAAGAAGTAGAAGGAAAAGAGGTTCGGCTGAAGAAGTTGTCGTGGACTGCCCACGTTGACAATGGACATGTGCCGTTTCGGCGCGATTGCGTGGTTTGCCAGAGGTCAGCAGCGAGACAAAGGCCGCATAGAAGACATGATGATCCAGAAGCGCATTGTTTAGCTGTTGACATTTGTGGCCCATTGAAGTGGGGTCAGGACGTGGATGGTGAAGAGAAGAAATACCTTTTGGTCGGCTCCTACACGAGGCCAGTGGAAGGTAAGGACTCTGATGAAAGCTTGGGGATGTTGGATGAGGAGAATGCTGAAGATGATGAAACGCTTCCGGTTTTGGAAGATGAAGAGGCAGAGCAAAGGGAGGCGTCAGCGTCTTCTTCCTCGCCACCCAAGAAGGAGGCTCAACCAGAGGGTTTACCTTCAAGACCAGCATCGAAAAGGAAAGGGGAGGAAGAGAAGCCTCCTGAAGATGCAGAAAGTGCTGAGGAGAAGACTGAAGAAGGGAAGCTGGAAGAAAAGTTAAAGACAAAAGGAATGCTGAAGCTGATGACATGTGTGCCATTAGCCTCAAAGCATGCGCTGGATGTTTTGTCAGGAGTCCAAGAATTGGTGGTGAAGCTCAGAAGGTATGGCTACCCAGTCGTACGCCTGCACACGGACTATGAAACAACCTTTGTCAACAAGCACTTGAAGGGATGGTGCTTGAACCGAGGAATTGTGAGGACATCGTCCACCCCAGAAGAACACCAACAAAATGGAAGAGCGGAAGCTGCAATAGCTTCTATCAAGGGAAGGGTGCGACGTCTCTTGCACTCCTCTGGCATGGAGACGAAGTGGTGGCCGATTGCAGCACGACATGTGGTAGAGCTGGAGAGAAGAAGGTTTGAAAAGATTGAGGACAAGCTGCCAAGGTTTGGACAGAAGATAGTGACAAGAAAGCGGAAATGGAAAAGAGGAGATGAGTTTGAAACTACAGCGCAAGAAGTCACTTACCTGACTCCAATCCCAGAAGTTTCAAAAGGACATGCGGTTATGGAAGAAGATGGGAGTTTCAAGGTGGTGAGCTGCCTGATCCAGGACTGCAAAGAGCCGCAGGAGGAAGAAAAGAAGTTGGAGTTAGAAGAAGTGATTCAAGAAAGGGATCCTATGGAAGCGCGAAGAAGACTGAGGAAAAAGATGTCAGTCGCTTCTTTGAGGATTCCAGAAGAAGAATTTGCAGAAAGTATCAAGCTGTTCCAGGCAGTTTTGGAGCAGGATGAAGCGATGTACAATGAAGACGAAGAGGTCATTCCGGCAGTGATGAAAGGGATGATTGCCATCAGAAAGGAAATGGCGGCACTGCAAGAAGGCCGACTTGAAGAAGAAGTGCTACAGACCAGGGTAGTTTCCAACCAGGAAGTGTACCAAAACAAAGATGAGTGGGTTGGAGCTATCAGAAAGGAGATTGACAATTTGGTGCAGAAAGGAGCAGTCAAGAGGCTGACCAAAGAGGAAGCTGCGTACTACAAGAGAGAGCATGCAGACAAGTTGGAGGTGGTGCCAGGAAAAGCAGTACACACGATAAAAGCACCAGATGGTAAGAAGAAATGCCGCCTGGTGGTGTGTGGGAATCACCTTCAAGGAGGAGACAAAAAAGACACCAAGGAGGAACATGCCAACTACTATGCAGGAGGGGCAGACACAATCTGCCTGCGACTTGCACTGTCCATGGCAGCACGCTATGGGTGGGACATTGCAGGTTTAGATGTGGTTGCAGCGTTTTTGAACGCGCAGCTGGGGGACGTGCATGAGAAACCACAACCAAGAGAAGACCCAACCAGAGACAGAGGCCGCATTGTGTTGATGCAACCACCGCGGGTTCTGGAAAGACTAGGTCTGATCGAAGTTGGAGGGCTTTGGCTAGTGGAACGTGCCCTCTATGGACTGAGAGAGTCGCCTCGCCTGTGGAGTGATCACAGGGATGGAACCCTACATGGCATGGAAATACAACAAGGAGGCAGGACGTTGAAGTTGCTGCCGAGTTTTGCAGAAGAAAATCTTTGGCTGATCAAGGATACCAGCCTTAGAGATGAAGGTGGAGTGCAAGGCTTGGTTTTGATTTACGTGGACGACATGTTGGTCATGTCGAACCCGGAGATCACCAACATGGTGGTGGAAAAGATACGGAAGACATGGGAAGTGACCAAACCTCAATGGGTCACGGAGACAGAGCCAGTTCGGTTCTGTGGGATCGAGATCTACAAGAACAACGAAGGGGATTACTTTGCGGGACAGCAGTCTTTTGTGAAGGAAGTGCTGAAGCGGCACAACTGCAAGGAGTTTGCAGCATCCCCTTTGAAAGACAACTTCGAGCCGGAGGAGGAGCTAGATAGGACAAGAGAGGAGATCCAACTGGCCCAAAAACTGGCCGGAGAACTGCTGTGGTTGGCCGGAAAGACCCGACCCGACCTAGCTTACACTACCAGCCGTATCTGTTCAAATGCAACCAGGTCTCCAAAATGGTGTGCAGGAGCAGCTGCACACACCATGAAGTACCTCAACAGAACCTGGGGTATGGGACTGTACTTCAGGAAGAAGGGAGGGAATGTCCTGGAAGTGGCAACAGATGCCAGTTTTGCGCCAGGTGGTGGTTTGTCGCATGGCTCAGTAGTAGCAAGCATGGGAGGTACGCCAGTGATGTGGAGGTCCTCAAAACAGCCTTTCCCCTGTTTGTCTACCGCAGAGACTGAGCTGGTAGAAGCCATTGAGGGAGTCATAGTTGGAGACTCTTTAGCATGCATAGTGGAGGAGTTGGAAGGAAGAGTGGATAAGCAGCTGGTATGTGACAACATGGCAGCCGTGGCTTTGTCCACCACGCGGACAGGAGCTTGGCGCACACGGCATTTGAAAGTACGTGCGACACACCTCAAATGGAGGGTGGAAGCTGGAGACTGGAAGATGCACCATCGACGGGGCACAGAGCTCGTCGCAGACATGGGTACAAAGCTTCTTGGTGCCAACAAAACGAAGGATCTGTCAAAGAAGATGAATTTGGAATGGCTACCAGATGTAGTAGCCTTCTCAAAAGCGAAGGAAGAAAGGATTGAGAAAGAGGAAGAGAAATTGGCGGAAGAACAGGACAGAGAACCAGCTGTGACGGTATCCAAGAAGGTCTTTGCAGGAGATATGGAAAAGGTGGTAAAGATCGCCACCCTCATGGCGGTACTTCAGAAGGTAGAAAGAGTATATGCCATGGACAAGAGTGAGACGGAAGAAGGATCAGAAGTTTTGGCGGCATTTGGCTTGTTGATGATGATCCTTGGAGTGGTTTTGTACAAGTTGGTAGAAAGAATGTGGAAGATCTTTCATGAGAAGAGAGATCACGAGGAATGCCAAGCTCGCGCCCTTACGCGCGACTCTCGCGCCCTTATGCGCGACTCTCGCGGCCTTATGCGCGACTCTCGCGGCCTTACGCGCGACTTTCGCGGCTTCATGCGCGATCGAGAACGTCACCAACTTCATGTACGCGAAGAAGAAGAAGAGATAAGTTGTGAAGAAGGAGAACAGACCACCGTGAAAGTGGCGACTCTGAGGATGAGAAAAGCTGAAAACAAAGGTTCCAATGAAAAAAGACAGGAAGGTGAAAGCTCCGCTACCAGAAGCGACAGTCACACAACTGAGAAAGGCACGGAGGAACGACATGACAAAAAGGGAGCACAGACAGTGCCTCCTATGCCCGCTCAAGGACGGAGCTGTGGGAACCCTGGAGGAGAGGGAGCCCAGTCTGCTCGTCCTGGACGACGCTGTGGGAACCCTGGAGGAGAGGGAGCCCAGTCTGCGGGTCCGAGCGGAGCAGTGCCCACTCCTGGATGGCGCTGTGGGAACCCTGGAGGAGAGGGAGCCCAGTCTGCGGGTCCGAGTGGTGCAAAGCCTAACCAAGGAGAGGGAGCTCAGTCTGCGCGTCCAGATAGTGCAGAGAAGCCGAACCTGGTGGGGCCAATCATCACACCAAATGGGAGGAGATTCCATAGAAGCAGTGGATGCCCGACGTTGGCACAGTCTTGGAAAGGAAGAAAGCCGCTTTGTGGTGAATGTGGCGACACCTACTTGGTGGCTGACGTGATGATGATGGATAAGAACCAGTTAGTCCATACGAAGAAGAAGTGCCCTAAGGTTGTGGGAGAGCTGATCGGATATGATGCATGCCAAAGGTGTGCTTAGCGGCTTGGGCCTAGAGAGCTCAAAATTTTCCAGAAAGCAGGATTGCATGAACATGTCAATCCTGGGAGGAGTGCATGGATGTCAGACACTCCAATTTGAAACGTGAAACGGCATGTTCAGTTGTGTAGGATTCAGTCTTACTGTGAAAGTCAGAGAAGATTAGCACAGCCACCTGCACAGGATGACACGCCAAATCGAGACGGCATAGCCGCTTTGTGGTTCAAAACAAGTTGCCAGGGCTGACCTGCGTGCAAAAAACCATAGAAAAATCCCATTCACTGGCCATGTTTGCTGCTTAAATCCCATGAAAATCCACCATAAACCTGGCTGGCGACTGGACTGCACCTTGGTACGCTCCAAGTGTCTCAGGAACTCGTGCCCCAATCCTTCACCTCAATGAGAATCGAGAAGCAGCCCTTTTTTGAGGATTTTTTCAGCAGCAAATATGGGGGAAATCAACATCTGGTTGGTGGTTGACCAACCTACCATTGGCTGGTAATATGCTATTAATATATGGTTAATATATGGTTAATATATGGTTAATATATGGTTTATATATGGTTAATGATGGTTAATACTCTGGTTGGTGGTTGACCAACCCCTCTAAAAAATGATGGAGTTCGTCAGTTGGGATGATGACATTCCCAATATATGGAAAGTCATAAAAGCCATGTTCCAAACCACCAACCAGACATGGTTGAAATGAAGCTGGTTCAGCTTGTTTCATGGGGACATTTCACCTAAACTCAGTTTTTTCTCGTCCTGGCAACTGAGATAGACATTCAAGGTCACGATGCAAAAAAAAAAAATGGTCACTTTCATGGCTTGAAAGCAACAAAAGGGGATCCCAGAAATAATTTTGGAACACTTGGGTGCATCCCAGTTGGTAACTGGTTAATTGGGAATATCATATGTATAGCTGGCATGTCCATCCAAGCGCCAAAGTTTACCCTTCCGGGTGTGCTCCAAAAAAACACCAACAACCGCCATCCCATCGATCTATACCCGTAAGAAATGGGGGGGTTGTAAAATGCCATCAGACTTTCTGAGCCATTTTGCCTCAGCTTGCACCTACGTGCTGTCAAAAAACATCAACCTCCTTGAACAATATGAGTTCATTGCAATCATCATTCGAAATACAGATATCATTTTTTAAAAGAAATAAAGCACCAACCAGCAATTCATATACCAATCATTGAACCCTCTTTGTTGGTGATGTTTACCAAATCCAATTTGTTTATTTAAATCCCAAGATTGAATTATATTGATTATTGATGGGTACTTCCCAATTTGGGTCCAATTCCCATCTTATAAAAATCCCCAACCAATGCTTTAACTACCTAATTTCCAGATAAATTGAGTTCAATCCTCAAATCCCTTGAGTCCTACCCCCAAATTGATTGAAAATCCTATATTTGCGGATGACATCCTATTAAATGTCCATGTTTGCTGACGAAAAATCCACAATTTCTCTGTAAATTTGCATGTATGCTGGCGAAATCACAGAAACTCACCATGTTTCATGGCTATGTCGCTATAAAATGCTATAAATCACATCAAATCCCACAATTCCACCGGAAATTCCACCCGTTTTGGCGGTTTTTTGTTGGGGCCCGGCGGCTCGGCTCGGCTCGGTTCCCCAGCCTCGGTGTGCTCCCTCGACCAGGCCGGGCGCATCGGCCATGGTCAGCGTGGAGCCATCCACAAAGTCCACCTGGCGCCGGGATTTGTTCACCGCTCCTGCCAGGTGATCAACCTCGATTTTACCCTCTGGTTATGTCAAAATAGCTATTGAAAATTGCCATTTGTAGTGGGTGATCAACCTCGATTTTACCCTCTGGTAATGACTAACAGTTGGCTATTGATATTATGGCCATAGATTTCTAGTGGATTTACCCATGAAACATCGTGATTTTCCATGGTTTTTTGGGACTGTTTACCAGAGGGTAACTGTTTTAACTGGTGAATTCCTGGAGAATACCCAAGCTGGTTATGACATGACATTCACAGGGCTAGCCATGGGTTTTCGATGGCCCTAATCGAAATAGATGGGCCATACCGTTCCAAAAATAGCATGGGGATTTTCCATGGCGAACTGTTAAATAACCAGAGGGTAACTCACCCACGAGTTGTAATTCACCGGTTTTTTTTTTGGAGTTGGCTGGGATTGTTTTTGTTGCAGATTCCACAGAATTGGGATGGTTTACCATGAAACATATGGTGGTTTTCATGGGATATCACCATGAAAAATGTTGAGATTTAAAAATTGGTAATTCTTTTTGGGTCACCAAGAACAAAGATAGAAAAATGTGCCCAGGACGTTGTAGATTATGTTTACTTCATATTTCCAGGTTTCCAAGTCTTGAACATACCCCAAAACAATAAAAATAAAATCATAGTCAGACAAATAACTTGTCTCGATTGGAGTTCATCATGGTTTCTCTTGTTTAATCGAGGTTGCTACATAGATTTTGGGGGTTCATCTGCATATACTTTCCAGTTTTGCGGTGAGTAGTTCATAACCGGTTTATTCACTGTGGATTCTCATCCGATGCACCGGATGCACCCGATGCCGAAAAACAAAAAAAATCCGCCGGAAGCGACGGAAGCGACGGCGGGGGTCAGGATGATCCTATTGGAGTTGGCCGGGTTCCAAGAATGATCCAATGATGATCCAAATGATGGTAAACTTAATATTCATATATATATATATATTATATACTAAATAAATTTGGGGGATGTGTGTAGATGTGTTTTTACTATAAAACCTGGTTTCTATACTCCAAAAAGTTGGTCGACCACAGGAAGCTCTTCCAGCCACAGGTTGGATGATTGCACGTCTGGGAACGATGGTTCTCATACACCGCTGGTTTTTTGGGGTGTACCGCAATTGTCCAGACTTCCCCAAGCATTTCATACTGTTGGGTGTATATAATAAATATGTGTATATATATATATATATGACCATATTATTAGTCAGTTGGGATGATTATTACCAATATATGGAAAGTCATAAAAGCCACGTTCCAAAGCACCAACCAGATATATGTATACATACAGTATACACTGGGCCATCCCCTTCCAGCCCTTCCAGCTCCCCCAGGTGGTTTTTGGGCCTTCCCCACATAGGGCGCCACTGTGGTGAAGGGATATGGTGCAATCTTCGGACAAGCGCGGCTCACGGCGCCCAGCAGAGTGGACTTGCCAGCATTGGGCATGCCCACCTGAGGAATTCTAGATCTGGGACAATTTGGGATCTGGGATCATCTGGGATCTATAAAATATCACTGGGACTATGGCTGGGATTATTGGGATTTTGGATGATTGGTGATGATTATTGGTCTAATATAATCTAAATATACTTGAGACGATTAGATGACTTGGACGATTATTGGGACTATTATTCATGGGGTTATTATTATTGGGATGATTATTGTATTATTAAATGGGACTATGATTGGGACTATCATATCATTGGCCCAATGGGATTACGAATGAACTAATACGAATTATATCATTGGGGCAGTTTGGGGGTATGCACATTAAATACTATTTAATCACTTTTTGGGACTGGTATTGCGATTATTAAAAAATCTTAACTCCTACTATGAGAGACGAGTATTACGGGAAGTCTGATTGGGATGATCATTGCTACTTTTATTAGACTACGGGGACTATTAGTGGTCCAGTTGTATTGTTGGATTATGGGACTAGTTATATAATTGGTGCAGTTTGGGGTATGTGTATTTAATCACTGTTTGGGGGATAGATAACTTGGGATTATAAGTAATACTATATTTCATTAGGGACCATTATTTTTGGGGTTATTATATGTTATTGTTATTATTATTAGATGATTGTTGCAACGTATTATTACTACCACGCCTTAATTACTAGGATTACTATGATCGGAATTAGTACATTACTGGGGTTATGCCCAGGGAAATGGGACATGTAAAACTATGATGTTGGATATACAAAACTACAATATGATAACCAGCAGTCTTGGGATATGTCTATTCCCCTTTTTGGGGGGACTATTGTTGGGATTATCCATTGGATGACAAGATAACTATGATAATCCCAGGAATCAGTCCGCAAAGAAGGAAAAAGAGGAGATCTGAAACCTCCACGAGATGCTGGACAACCTATTACTTCTAGCGATCTTGGTTTTTTTGCAATGATCTGATCAGATTTATGTCGATGTTAGATGTACCCCAGATATTTCATGAATTCTCATGACATATTCCAACATCTATTAGATAGAGAAGATGGAATACCTGCGAAAAGTCAGTGGCGGTAGCTGGTTGGGTTGAGAACCAACCAGGTGGTTCATCCACTCAGACCTGAACATGTGGTGATTGGCCTTGCCGGGTTGTCACCCCCGAAAACCGATGTGGAACCCAAAAAGCCACCTGGCCACCTAGCCATTTCGCCTCTTAGCCACTTTCCAACAAGAAAAATCATCCAACACAGAACATCTCCCGAACCGCCAACTTCCTTCCTGTAGGTATCCATGGTCATGTGTTGCTCCATTAAGTAGGATGATTTTGCGAGTGCCAAACATCCTAAAAGTCCCAACCATCTCATAGCCATTGCTTTTTCCACATGATATCCGTGCCATCTGCTTGTTTTCTTAAATGGCCAATTTTGAGCATTCCCCCTTTTCGGAAAAACCCTATCAAAATGGCCGTAATTTGGTCATATTATTAGTGAAATATAGCAAGATATATCCCATTAATCTACCCTTTACATCCCTTTACCTGAATATCAAGCCTGGATGAATGAATGAATGAATGAATGAATGAGTGAATGAATGAAAGGAAATGAAATGAAATGAAATGAAATAAAATGAAATGAAATGATGAATGAATGAATGAATGAATGAATGAATGAATGAATGAGTGAGTGAGTGAGTGAGTGAGTGAATGAATGAATGAATGAATGAAGCCCTGGGCTGTTGATCAGTGGGGATTATCACTCTTTGCGGGTAAGCATGGGATTCTAAATCCAGGGCAGACATTCACAAACCAAATGATAATTCACGCATCATATATATATATATGTATGTATATGTATATGTATATGTATTTGTATATACATATATATATATATATATGTGTCCATCCTATCTTTCTCACTGGTGCATCCCATACCAAGCCCATATCGCCACGTCGCCAGCCCCACATCCGCCACGGTCTTCAGTTCCAGCTCGATGCGTCGCTCCTCTCCAGCCAGGCCATCGGAGGATTCGTGGGGCCGCGCCATGGTGTTGCCTCGGGGAAGACGTGCCCTGCAACGGGGGGAAACCTGTGGAAAACCTGTGGGAAAGCATTGGAAACCCAGGAAAAATGGGCTCTTTTTGACCATAGAAAGCTAAAAAGGTGGGGTTTAGGATGGAATATAGTAGATATATCATGATATGTCTATAGTGAATGGGATTTATAAACCAACTTATAGCTGGGGGGGCACACCTTGTAATGGGAATGGAGCTTTAAGCAACTCGACCCCCAGCGGATTCAACCTTAAATTCATGTCGATATATCACTGATTCGTTTTACAGCATGACACTCAATTTCTGGACAAACCCTGAGACAGCTAGGTCCATAATTTTTGGGAACCCACTGAAATCTGCTTAATTTTAAGGGAACAATAGAAAATCAGGTTGATTTCAAATGTCTACAACACCTTTCCAGACAAAAAAAAATCGTGGAGTTTGGTGCTTTAGCTGGCAAACACGTCCAATTTCTCCTTTGAACTCACGGTTACTGAAAACCTACAGTTTTCGGCCGCAAGAAAACGTGATCCAATCCCTTTCAATCCTAATAAATGTCTCATGTTTCTATCATTTCTTGATATTTTTTGTATCCAATAAATCTCCTTCTGGGGGAGCCAAGGATCCCATGCCCCCACGGCCACCTTTGGCCACCAGCACCGACTCGCCCACCTGGATCGTTTGGAGGTTTTATAGCATTTTATGGCATTTTCTATGGCATTTTAATGCATTTTATAGCATTTTCTATGGCATTTTATATGGATTGACCAGCAGAAATAGGGAAGCAAAGGGAAGAATGACCAGGATGATGGTCCTGATGGTGTTCTACCATGTTCTACCCACCAGTTGTCGCTTTCCACGATCGCCTTGTCCAGGTCCGCCAACTCCTCCTTTTGCCCCGGAGACGTGGATCCGATGCGCAGCTCGCGCACCACCACACCGCGGGGGACTTGGATCACCGTGCTGCGACCTGACGGACCAAGACGGACCAAGGGTGGCTGGAGGTGGTGGCTGCCAAATATGCAAAAAGGTGGAAAAAAAGTGATTCAAACATACTAAAATAGGCATGGAAAGATGCTAAAACCTCATTTGATGTGTATTCAGGCGTCATGTGAATTGTTGGAATATTGCTGGCGTCTACATCCCAGGACCGGCAGGACCGGACGAACCCAAGAGGGAGAATGGGGATACCAAAAAATGCATTTAGGAAACATGCAAAAATTGGGGATACTGATTTTAGATCATCCCAAAAAAAATGGATTGTGCATTGTAACATACACTGGGATCCTTGGATCGTTCAGTCCTGATGAATCTTCCAAATTTTGGCAGATACCCTCTGGTAATGACTAACAGTTGGCTATTGAAAATGGCCATAGAAATAGTGGATGTACCCATTGTTTCAATGGTGATTTTCCATAGTTTTTTCTGTTTACCAGAGGGTAATTCTCGAAAAAACAACAAGAACTCGGGTCCAAAATGGTCCCTGATTCCACTGCAGGCTGAATAGGTGAGAATTTTAAGCTCTGCTCAGCTATCAAGTCACCTTCATCCAAAAAAATGGTTCTGCTGAAATGAAGGTATATATATAGTATAATATAATATAATATAATATAATATAACATAATATAATATAACATAATAGAATATAGTATTATAGAATAGAATAGAATAGAGTAGAATATAAATATAAATATAAAAATAAAATAAAATAAAATCATACAATATGATATAATATGATATAATATAATATGATATCATATAATATAACATGATTTGATATAATATAAAATAATATGATATAATATACTATAAAATAATATGATATAATATAATACAATATAATACAATATAATATAATATAATGTAATATAATATAATATAATATAATATATATATATATATATCATATGATATAATATAATATAATATAATATGATATGATATAATACATATATATATATACATATAATATAATATGATATAATACAATATAATATAATATAATATGATATAATATAATATGATATAATATAATATAATATATACACAATATAATATAATATAATATGATATAATATAATATAATATGATATGATATGATATAATATAATATAATACATATACATATATATATATACATAATATAATATAATACATATACATATATATATATATATACATATATATATACATATATATATATACATAATATAATATAATATAATACAATATAATACAATATAATATAATATAATATTATATTATATTTTATTATATTGTATTATATATACATGTACATATCATTGTTGTTAAGGAGTGAAGGTGTGATAGATGGAGATGAAGTGGTTCCTGTAGATTCCCTGCAATCATGGATTTCCACAGGACAGAATTCCAACAGCTTATCGGCGAAGCAAACCCAGAAAAAGTCGGCCTTCGAAGTTTGGTAATTCGTACTGAAATTCAAACATATGTTTCAAAAAAATGTATCACACATCAGCTTGGAAGTCACATCTCCCTTGTTTTTGATGGTTCACCCCCTACTCCATGGATCCGTTCCAAACCTCGAAAAAAAGACATTTGGCCTTGAATGCAGGCCACCTAAATCGTTGGGTAGCTGGATCTTTCTTCTATTGTTTTTTGGATACCCTCCCGTAATCAAACATGGCTACCTGGAAAATCACCATACAGATGCTTTCCCATGCTTTTCCTATGAAAATGCCCAGTTAGTTCCCGGATTTCCCAGCCATGTTTGATGACACCGGAGGCTGGAAACCACCGAGTCACCACTGTCTCCATTGAGGTTCTGCTTCTTGCCAGCCAACCCATCCCTAAAATCAGGATGGGGATGGGCCGGGATGGGCGTGGAATTTTGGCAGATTGAATTTGCCATTGGATATAATATGATATAATTAACAAGACCACGGATGCTTAGCCAAGCTTGTATTTCCTTGTCATTCTCATCATGATTCTCCGCGCCATTCTTCTTGTTCCCAGAAATCTAAAAACACGAGCATCTCCAACAATTGACCCAAAAATCCGAAGAGCTAAGTCAATCTGGTTACTTCGGTACCAGTCGAGAATTAAAGTTCCAGGCTTCATCACCTCGTTTTCTCCATCAAATCACTATAAAATTGACCATGATATTGGCTATCCCCCCATTTATTCAGAGGAATACAAACCACGACGCTAGCCGATTTTGAGCCATGGCCAGCCGCTTCGTTGATTCGAAGGCATGACCTCCCAACGCTCATCCACCAAGTAAGCCATCCAAGTGACTCCGCTTGCACGTGGCCATTGACATGAGCCAGGCTGTGAAAGGATGGAGTTGCCTCGAAAATCCACCGATGTGAAAAATAGGAAAAATTGTCTGAAAATCATGGGAAAACCCTCGTTAAATCATACGCTTTGTCATCATCGAACCCCGATGAAAACATCCATTTCGGGGTATAGACAATTTTCAAACAAACCCAAATTAGTTTACGGCCACTGAATTTAAGCATGGCTTGGTACCTTTCAATATCCACGTTTACCCCATATTTTTTAGAGGTCCCAAACTTGATAGTAAAGCAAGTCACATGGAAATATACCAGAGATTGACATTGACAGATGCATGTTTAATTTCAGAGACCCTGGGGAAAAAAAATAGATGGGTATGAATACGAATGAAATCGTATGACATATTCCTGGTTTCGACCGAGTTTACGGATGCTTAGGGTGTGTCACTTCCCGATTTCAACAAGTCAACCTGCTCACTCAAAGCACAACCTACACCTCTAAGTCTCACATTTCTTTAAAAAAAACGAAAGAGGCAACCTTCCTTAGATAGTTTTTTGGATCAAGGATAGGTGTTTGCTCGCTTCGTTGTCAACTGCAGCGCTCTGTCCCTTGCTTTTGTTTGTTTTGTATCAGTATCAGTATCTGGGGCATGGGTATGTCTGCGTCAAAACCAGCGTACTCTCCGGTTCACATCAACCTAATGGTCCAGTGTCGACCAACCTCCACCTATGAAGTATCACTTATGCCTGGGGAAGCATCAAAACATCGCCGAGCGTCGGCCACCAGCACATCCCCCCCGCGACCTGGGAATGAAACCAGGCGTCCAGGCGGTGTCCAAATGGGATGACCGATAACTTTGGCCCCCCCGAACATGCTCTTTGGTGGTTTGGTGGGAGATCTCAAGATTCTTCAATCCAAATAGTTCAAGTAGTGGAGAAGCACTAGAATCTTAGAAGAAACTCTACACTGTTCATTGAGAACTTGATACCGATCCTTGATGATTTGATGTGATCTTGAGCTCATGGATACGCGAAAACCTGGCCTTGGCCCATCTCGCGATTCAAAACATGACTACGGACTAAGCTCTGCCTTGGACCACTGGAACCTTGTCTTCACATGAACAGAATCAACACCCCTTTAGCATGAATATATTGACGGCAAGTATCAAGCAGCACGATTTGTCCAAAACCAAAAAAAAAAGGGAATATAATCGCAATGAGCCCATGGTTGTCTTGGACACTGCAGCTTTCAGGTTGCTGATCGCCTAGATTTTGAGCCTACATCATGGCTACCCCCGAACGATACCTGAAAGAAGGAGTTCATGTTTAGCCTTAACCGGGATGTGTAATCTTCTTGCATTAGAATGGCAAAAAATGGGCCACCGGCAATAATATTCTTCACTCTTCAATCTCCAAGGGCTAAGTCCCCTTGAACATTCCCATGTTCAGTTGATAAATGTCCATACATTTCCATATAGATATAGTTACCATGGTTTATAAACCATCTCAAGACGGGGTTGGGCACGACCTTGTACGTCCCTCAGGTTCGCAAGGCGCTAAGCGACCGCCGTTGCCACCACACGGGTATCCAGGGCCGATCCTAGAGCTCTCGAGGTGAGGTTGATGGGAATTGGATGGCATAAAATTGGAGGGAAAATATATATATATAAGGGATTGTTTGATCAACAAAAATGGGCATATTCTGCATATCACACGGAATATTGGAATCTGATGGAATTCTAAAAGAGTCTAAAACTGACTGGAGGATCTGCGGGAAAAGTCACGTTTGATCCCCATCTGTTCAAGTAAACATAGCACTCATAGCACTGAACAAAAACGCCCAGTGGTTGTGTGTTGCTCTACTTATTCGATATGGGGAAAACTCTCGTTGTGGCATTGAGTGAGTAGAACTTCTCTGATGACAGGGCTCTCTACAAGGTGGGCCCCGGTGAAATGGTTGTTGGCTGAACCAATCCCAATATTCCAGTTATATCATAGTTACGTATATCTACCAGAATTCATAGACCTCATTTTATGTGCACCAACCTTACATCAATACACCATAGACATCACCATATCATCGGGGCCCCACCTTTCAGCTCTCAAGTCCCCAGAATCTTGGCACTTAGCCGTTGAATTTAATGGAATATGTAACCATCAATATGGAGATATCTGGGAATAGATATACACCCATATAGCCATGGGAAAAATTGGGGGTTATATCCCAACTTGCTGGGGGGTGGTCATTAGTATTGTAATATCAAGCAATATATCATATACATCATATATATATATATCATATATATCAAGATATACATATATACAATAATCCCAATGGCACCCTTAATGATATTTTACCTTGTTAGATGCAGTATTCCGAAAGATTCACAGTTTTCTGCTTGTCCATTCACCAAGCATTCACCAAGGGCATTCACAGGCGTTCATTTAGGATGTTCCAGTGACCCTGCGGACCCTGCCCAATAGTCGCCAAAGATCATCTTGTGCCTCAGCATCCCGATTTTTGAGCATATCACCTGATATGATCAAGATGTGTTGGATCATTCTTGAAAGGAACTTGTTTCAAGTCAACAACCCTGGGTCAGAAAAAACTCCGGAATGCCTTGAAAACACCATTGAAAACTGAGGCCTTGAAAACTGCGGCCTTCCACACCAAACGGACAGGTTTCATGGGCGTAATCCAACCATCTCCAACTCCCGGGTCAAAAACGATGTGTGCCATGGTCAAAACATGTCAAAACACAGTATTTCGTGGTTATTCTCATCCATCCCATGCCATTTGGAATCCTTAAATGTAATATATATATATATGTATATATATTATATATTATATATTATATATTATATATTATATATTATATATTGTATATTATATATTGTATATTATATATTATATATTATATATTGTATATTATATATTATATATTATATATAATATATTATATATTATATACTGTATATTATATATTATTATATATTATATATTATTATATATTATATATTATATAGTATATATTATATATTATATATTATATATTATATATTATATATTATATACTGTATATTATTTATTATTATATATTATATATTATATACTATATATTATATATTATATATTATATATTATATGTAATATATTATATATTATATACTGTATATTATATATTATTATATATTATATATTATATTATATATTATATAGTATATATTATATTTTTTATATTATATATATTATATTATATATTCTATTATATTATATATATTATATAATATATTATATAATATATTATATATTTTATATTATATATGAAATATTATATATATAATATTATTTATTACATATTATATATTGTATATTATATATTATATATTATATATTATATCATATTGTATATTATATATTATATCATATTATATTATGTTATATCATATTAAATATTATATATTATATCATATTATATTATATTATAGTATAGTATAGTATATCATATTATATTATACTGTATTATAATATAATTTCTAATTATTATTTGAATTATAATTCTTATATTACATTACATTATATTATATTATATTATATCATATTATATTCGATTATATCATATCATATTATATTATATTATATTTATAATTATATTATACTGATATTCATATTTCTATTTATATTATAACATTATATTATATTTAATTTTATTTATATCATATTGATATTGATATTTATATTTAAATTATGTTATATTATATTATGTTTTATTA